AGACGGGGTTTTTCCATGCTGGTCAGGCTAGTCTTGAACTCCTGACCTCAGGTGATACACTCACCTTGGCCTTCCAAAGTGCTGGGATAACAGGCATGAGCCACTGCATCTGGCCTTTTATGTTTTTAGTAGAGACGGGGTTTCACCATGTTGTCCGGGCTGGTCTCAAACACCTGACCTCAGGTGATCCACCTGCTTCAGCCTCCCAAAGTGCTGGGATTACAGGTATCAGCCATTGTGCCCGGCCCGTAGTAACATTTTTTTTTGCTTAGCCTCCCATCATAAGACATTTTTAATGTATGCTATATTAAATGGCTGGAATTTTAGTCTGCAGTAAATTTCAGGGTTTGGTTAAAAACCTTCATTAAAATCTTCAAAATGTTCCCGTCACACTTGAAATTAAATCCATTCATCTCACCTTGTGTGGTCTACAAGACCTTTGGAGATCCAGACTTAGTCTGCCCCTGCCTACCACCACTGTGTCTCCACCATTTTCGATTTCTCTCGTTATTGGCTGGGTATTTGCTAGCCACACTGATTTGTTTTCTTCATTACTTCTTGCTTGCTTCTTGTCCTACTCTCTTAATAGAATGTGAGCTCCATGAGAGTAGGAACTTCCTCTCGCTCGTAGTTGCATCCCAAAGGCCCAGAACCATGCCTGACCCAGAGATGCAGCTCAGTAATTATGTGTTGATTGAGTGAGTACATTTTCTGAGAAAGCCAGTTAGAGGGAAAGGAAAGCTTCCTTTACCTTTCTTCTGAAGCATTTGAGATGAAATCTGTTCTGCGACACCAACTCAACAAGAACTTACTGGAGGTGCCTTTGGGGCTTGGCATCATGATAGCTCTTTTGTTAAAGCTATCCTCCCTCATTTTTTCTCTTTTTAACTTTGTGTCAGGCTGTTCTTGTACTGCTATAAAGAAATACCCTAGACTGGATAATTCATCAGAAAAGAGGATTAATTGGCTTGTGGTTCTGCAGGCTGTACGGGAAGCATAGCACTGGCATCTGCTTCTGAGGAGGCTTCAGGAAGCTTCCAGTCACAGTGGAATACTAAGGGGGAGCAGGCATGTCACATGACAAAAGCAGGAGCAAGAGGGGCAGAGTGGTGCAGGAGGCGGTGCCACATACTCTTTTTGGTTTTGAGAAGGAGTTTCCCTCTTGTTGCTCAGGCTGGAGCGCAATGGTGCAATCTCAGCCCACTCTAGCCTCCACCTCCTGGGTTAAAATGATTCCCCTGCCTCAGCCTCCTGAATAGCTGGGACTACAGGTGCTTGCCACCACACCCGGCTAATTTGTTGTATTTTAGTAGAGACGGGGTTTCCCTATATTGGCCAGGATGGTCTCGATCTCTTGATCTTGTGATCCACCCGTCTTGGCCTCCCAGAGTGTTGGGATGCAGGAGTGAGCCACCATGCCTGGCCCACAATGCCCTTAAATGTCCAGATCTCACAAAACCTCGCTCACTTTCACGAGAACAGCACAAGGGGATGGAGCTAAAAATTCATGAGAAATCTGCCCCCATAATCCAGTCACCTTCCCTCAGACCCCACTTCGAACATTGGGGGTTGCAATTCAACATGAGTTTAGAGGGGACACATATCAATACTATATCAAATTTGAGTAATATAAAGGACAGACAGCAAAAAAGGATGAGTGTTTCAAAGGCATTTAACTTAATTTCAGCTCCGCCACTAAGCCTTTAGTGTGTCTCCTTCATTGAGAAATTCTCCCCTAACTTTCTCTTAAAGGTGTTATAGTAGGACACGTCTTGGCCAAAAGTTTGGGGTGGAATTTGAGTCATTTTTTTTTTTTTGAGATGGGGTCTTGCTCTGGCACCCAAACTAGAGTGCAGTGGTGCGAATCTCAGCTCACTGCAACCTCCTCCTCCCAGGATCAAGTGATTCTCCTGCCTCAGCCTCCTGAGTAGCTGGAATTACAGGTGCCCACCACCGTGCCTGGCTAAGATTCTTTAAAAGATAATAAAATGCCATGGTTTAAACACATTTCTAGTAGTTTTGACAGGCCCATTATTAGTCCATTGTCATAGGAAGGGCAATTGAGGGACAGTCAAAGGGCTTTTACCAGCAGATCAAAAGAAAGGAAGAAGGGCTCCTGAGGACCCACCAGCCAGAAGTACCAGGCAGCGAGCTTCCTTTTAGGCATGTTCCCCATCCCAGGCAATACTTTGTATTGTTAGGTTTGGATGACAGCCTGTTATATTTGCTACTTGGTCAGGCTTTCATTGTTTAATATATGTTTTATGAAATTTACTTAGCCTATCCATTTGGCATGATTTCCTGAAGCTGCTATAGATAATCTCACCTGGTGTCATGGCTAAAAAAGAACATGTACACAGTAATTGTCAGCCGTTCTAAACTAAGAGTAAGACATTGAGAAATGCCCATCAGTCCATTCAGTTGCAATTGGAAATTTAAAACTATCCTTTTCATTTACAAGAAAGAAAATTCACTTCTAGTATGTTATCTTTATTATCATATTAGCCATATTGTAGATGAGAACACTGGAGTTTAAAGAGATCAGGTAATAAAAGAAGAGCCAACATCTTTAAAAAACTATAAATGTATGTGATCCTGTTTGTGGACCATTAGGGATTATACTAGGTTCATTTAGGGAACTGTGTGAATAATTAATAAATTCAAAAAAGACATATTTTTTGTTCCCATGTTTTATATTTATTTCAAGTTTACACTACAACCAAATTTAAGCTGAGCAAGGGTTCCTTGAGAAAGAGGGCCGGATATGGATCTGAAAGCTGGGAATTACCTGCTCCTCTTTCTGTCATCAACTTAATTATTTATAATTTGGGGCTAATAACTATTTCTTTAGGCCACTATATTCTTCACTCGACTAGTTTTAAGTTGTTATTTGTTTTGTTTTGCTTTATTTTGTTTTCTCGCTCTGTTGCCCAGGCTGGAGTGCAGTGACACCATCTTGGCTCATTGCAACCTCCACCTCCCAGGTTCAAGCGATTCTCCTGCCTCAGCCTCCTGAGTAGCTAGGACTACAGGTGTGCACCACCATGCCCAGCTAATTTTTGCATTTTAAGTAGAGATGGAGTTTCACCATGTTTATCAGGCTGATCTTGAACTCCTGACTTCAGATGATCTGCCTGCCTTGGCCTGCCAAAGTGCTAGGATTTCAGGCATGAGCCACTGTGTCCAGCAGTTCTGTTTTTATTATTGTCCGACCCTATTGTAAAATGCGTTTTTAAGAGACTGATTTGTAAGAGATACAGAATAGTTTTAAGTTTTATTTATTCTTTGTAAATCGGTTTTGGAAAATAGTTCTTTTAAGGGAACATATGTCATCCCCCTTAATCCTGTATTACTGATAGCATTTATTTGCTTAAAGAGTTTTTTTCCAGCGTGTAGTATTTATGCTCATTTTTGGATACCAAATAAATGTTGACTAAATGAGTGAAACTTTAATGTTTGGCTAAAATGAGACAGAAAGCTGTTTCTTTAAACTTTAGATCCTATTTAAGAAATAGAAATATAACCTACGTTTTTGATTGCCATTTGATTTCACAAGTGAAGAAGTAGGTATTTAGCTTTTTTGAAAATGTCGCAGAGCTGATGTCATCTTACTGTTCAAGCGTAAAAACCTACATGTGGCAGGTGTATTTTATAGGCTTATAAATACCTGAACTTGCTCACAGGCTGATTACTAGACTTTATAGGTTGCTTTAAAAAGTGAGAGCTTCCTACTAGTGGATGAATACTTACCCATTAATTTTTTTTTAATGTGAATTTAATCAGGAAGACCTAGAATAGATTCTTACCAAGTTCAATATGGTATGACAGTAAACCTCACAGCATAATTTATGAATTCATATATAATATGGCAGAACCAATGGCTACTATAAACAGCAAAGTGAGAGCATATTCCTAATTCAGACTATCTCATTTGACATTTTTAATAATTAATGGAGCTTTTCATTTTTAAGTGTCACCACTGAAAGTGCTAGTGTGCTCAGCAGTAAGCAGGTGAATTCAGAACGTTATTTTAAGGTAATGGGGTTCCCACTGACAACACAGGAAGCACACTTCCTATTAGAAAGGGGAACCATCATGATGAAACAGACAGAGACTTCGTGGATTGCTCTCTCCAACCCTTTGTGCAAGACTGTGTTGCTGGTACCAGACAAATGTTTCAGTGTTTGAAAGCTCAGAAAAGTAAGGGTGAGGGTGAAGAGAAGTATGTTGATAGGGGAAATTGCTAAACTCTTAGATGGACTGATTGTTTTTTTTTTTTTTGAGACGGAGTTTCGCTCTTGTTACCCAGGCTGGAGTGCAATGGCGCGATATCAGCTAACTGCAACCTCCGCCTCCTGGGTTCAGGCAATTCTCCTGTCTCAGCCTCCTGAGTAGCTGGGATTACAGGCATGCGCCACCATGCCCAGCTAATTTTTTGTATTTTTAGTAGAGACGGGGTTTCACCATGTTGACCAGGATGGTCTCGATCTCTTGACCTCGTGATCCACCCGCTTTGGCCTCCCAAAGTGCTGGGATTACAGGCTTGAGCCACCGGGCCCGGCCCTGATTGCATTAGTTATTAAAAGACTAACAATTCATTTTCAACTTTTTATGTTTAGAGAAGCATCTGAATATTGTTAGACCTTGCAGAGGCAGCTGTGTTGTTTAAACTGAGAATTGTTTGGGGGACAGAGAAGAGGAAGAAGGGATTCCTTGAGGAATGCTACCTCCTTTACAGATAACTCAGGGCTGTTTGTGAGGGAATGTGCATAGTCAGCCACGGTCTGGGCCATCTTAATACCGTGGGATGAGGGAGATGTGCTATAGCAAGCTGTTCCTTTTTTCTTGTTTGCTTTCTGTGCTTAGAGTTCTGATTCTCCAAATGTTGAATAATAGCCATTCCGAATTAGTCAAGCACTGTTGGATGGGGTTTGTGGGACAGAGTAAAACCTGTATGACAAGACCTCTGTCTTCTGCTCTGAGATCTGACACCTGATCAGGCCACCATCATTCGGCAGCACATATACTAAAACTGGAACAATACAGAGGAGATTATCATGGCGCCTGTGCAAGGATGACATACAGATTCGTGAAGCGTTCCATATTTTTAAAAGGAATTTGAGGTGATAACAACGTTCTAAAAAAAAAAAAATAGACGTAAACCACACACTGTTCTTTCCCAAAGAGACAAGTGCTTTCCCTGGAAGACATTTTTAATTCATGAATTTTTCAAGTACCCGTTAAGTACATCATCTTTTGGTTTTGAGGTATACTAGTTGTGTGTTAGAAGTTTAACATACAACGTATGAATTCTGTGCTTTAAGGAATTTTGCAGGAAACATTGCATGTGTTAAGACAGATTTTGGATACATTTTCTGAGGTCATAAGGTATAAGAGAGCTGTCATAGTGGAGGATATTTATTCCTGGGAATGACATAGATTTCGATTGATGGCAACTTTGATTGGTAGTGGCTTCCTGGACTGCTGTGTTAGAAGAATTCTAAGCGTTCCTAAATTCAATGGGGAATAAATCTATTACATTAGTCTGTCACAGGTATCAGTCTTACTATTATTGCTATTCCTCGTTTGTCTATTCTTCTTACATGAAACTAGTTGAGTAGAGGCTTAGCATAGCTAGTATTTAGATGAGTTCCAAATTTGTGTTCCAAGAATTAAATCAATCAAAATTAAATTTGAGCACTTGCCTTGTAAGAGATGCTGTGAAAGTAACACATTTTCAAAGTTAAATGGAAGCGTTAAATGGAGTAAGACCTTGAATGGTGAGAAATGGTCAAACAACTGCTATAAGAATTACGAGGGAGAGAATACCATGCCAAGAGTCTTGCAAATCAGGGATACTAAAGAATGATGAGGCAGAGTTGCTTTTATGTAAGCAAAAGCAAATAGCAGGAAGCGTAGCCTTTTTAAAGAAATCTCAGTACCACAGCCTGTTGGGAGAGATTATTTGTGATTTGGAGAAATGGGAGCCACCAGCAATTGGTGGTGGGCTTGGAAGTGATGGATTTTTTTTCATGGTCTTTTTCTTCTGACTCTGAGATTATAGGTCCCTAGAAGGTAAAAATCTGGCCTTGCATTTCACAAACTGTGTTGTTGTTGTTTTGTTTTGAGATGGAGTCTTGCTCCGTTGCCAGGCTGGAGTGCAGTGGCACGATCCCGGCTCACTGCAACCTCTGCCTCCCCATTCCACAAAGTTTTATACAGCTGCTCCTCATATGCCAGGCACCATATTAAGATGACAGGACTTGGTTTGGACTCTGTCCTTGATGATTCTTCAGAGCAGAGCAGGAATAGGGAAGGGAAGAAGGGAGTAGTATTTGTTGGTACCTACGTGCCTTTTAAAGGAAGTTACTCTTAACTCCATTATACAGAAGAGAAAAACCAAGGCTCAGAAATGTCAGTTTGCCCATGGTCAGCCAACAGAGCTAGATTTGAATCTAGGTCTCTCCCACTTGGGATTCTAGCTTCTTTTCACCAGAGTTCCTGTAAGTACACTTTGATCAACTGGTGTATTTATAGGCCTTTTTTATTTAATTTTTTTTTCTTTGCTCAGAGCCAGAAATGGAATGTTCTTTTAGTTCTTTTTTGAAAGATACATTTAAAGTCAGCTTTTTTAATTGAAGCATAATGTATATCCAAAAAAAGTCCACAAATCTTAAATGTCCAGCTTGACCAGTTTTCACAAAGTGAACACAGCCTTTGTTACCACTTCCTAGAGTAGAAGCTAAACACGGGATAATTTTTTTTTCTTCATACTTCTTTTTTTCCTATTTCTCTCTCCTTCTTTCTCTTTCTCTCCTATTTCCCTCTCCCCCACCTTCTCCATACCACCCCATTTTTCTAGCTGAAGCATTCCCTTGGACTTCTTGATCATAGAATTTAGTCCCAAGGATTTTTATGAAGCCACCTGGTGTTGGGGAGGTGAGTCGTACTCTGAGGTGCCCCTCTTGTGGGAATTACTTGAGTTATAAGAGAGTAAATGTTCCTCGAGTGGTGGCTTGGGCCTGTAATCCCAGCACTTTGGGAGGCCGAGGTGGGCCGATCACAAGGTCAGGAGTTTGAGACCAACCTGGCCAACATGGTGAAACCCCATCTCTACTGAAAATACAGAAAAAAAATAGCTGAGCATGGTGGCACGTACCTGTAATCCCAGTTATTCAGGAGGAAGCTGAGGAAGGATAATCACTTGAACCTGGGAGGTAGAGGCTGCAGTGAGCGGAGATCACATCATTGCACTCCAGCCTGGGCAACAGAGGGAGACTCCTTCTGAAAAAAAAAAAAAAAAAAAAAAAAAAGGTAAATGTAAGAGTGACATGAATCATGAGTGTTGATTTAATTCTATATTAAGTCACATTCCCACATTTATTATATAACTAGAATGTACCAGCTTCTATGAGATTTTAAAGAATATACCCATTTCAAGCTTCACAAATATTCCCATTTTACACATAAAGCAATGAGTATGTTTATGGGTTAAAGTGACTTACCTAAAGTAATATACAGTCTAGTAAATGGTAGACTTCCTTATACTCATCCACTTTTCCTTAAAATACATCATAGCTGCCTGCTTTTACCTTCATTCTTTGTTAAACATAAGTTTGCATGCTTAAAAATAAAACTAAATTAACTGAGAAGGACATAGGCACACCAGGTTTGTTATAGGAACTGCTTTTTTCTTCCCTTACTTTTTTAGAAAAAGAACTTGGATTCCAGATAATTGTAGTCCTGGAAATAGGACAAAGTTTCATATTTGAGAAGCTATTCTCATGTTTCCAGTTATCCTTAAGAGCTGGTCTTTGCAGCCATGTTTAGTATCACTGTTAGTTTGAAGCTGTTGGAACTGATTTTAGCAGAACCAGAAGTTCCTGAAGAGACACTGAACAATAAGTCACATTCTTTATATTCTAGTTAATTACAGACAAATTTTAAGAGCTTCATGTCAGTTACTGTCCCTTGAGTAACCCATGTCCATGTTCCTTAGGAATGCTTTATGTACTTTTTTTTTTTTTTTTTTTTTGAGACAGAGTCTCACACTGTTGGCCAGGCTAGAGTGCAGTTACTGATTTTGCCTCATTGCACCCTCTGCCTCCTGGGTTCAAGTGATTCTCCTTGCCTCAGCCTCTAAGTTGCTGGGATTCTGGACGCGCTCTACGACGCCCATTTATTTTTTTGTAGTTTTAGTAGAGATGAGGTTTCACCGTGTTGGCCAGGCTGTTCTCGAACTCCTGACCTCATGATCTGCCTGCCTTGGCCTCCCAAAGTGTTGGGATTACAGGCGTGAGCCATCGTGCTGGCCCTAAGCTACCATGCCCAGCCCTACTTTACATATTCTTTGAGAATTGATACAAATGAAGTTCAAGAGAAGTACATCTAAGAATTTGACTGTTTCCAGCTTCTGCCATTAGAACAACTGTTATAGTTTGAATTTTTTGGCTGAAGGCCTACTTCATTTATTTTTAGTTCTTTCTCATGCTTTTGCAAACCCAAGAACACTAACATGTTGGAATTGAGCCTGTCCTTATATTCCTGATTAGAGACACCGTTTAATTTGATATTTTGCTAAAGACTGTCTATGGCAAGTTGTCATAGGACTAATTTCTCTAGAAAAGCAAGAGTCTGAACAAAAAGGACGAAATAGGGATTTAAGTATAGGTCACTGGAGATTAAAAATAATTTTTAACACTGACTCCTTTCTGGAATGCCATATTAATTCATGTTTAGTTGAATCCATGGTAAATCTTTAAATGTGTGTGTGTTTGATTTTAATAGCTGATTCTAACTCAGAGCTGATCACCACTTTGGGAAATTTCTAAAATATTCTAATACATTAATAATAAACATAGAGTTTCTAAGTGGAAAATGAGAGTATTTTCTTTTCTTCCTTCATTTATCTGGGAGTTTTGGCTCACCAAGGAGATGTGTTCCGTAAATGTCTGGACAATCCATGGAGCTGAACTGGCATTAGAGTCAAGTAACACTCCTCCTCTTTCCATGTTCCTTAATATCTTCAAAGGCTTTGGGGGTTTCACCTTAGCAGCTTCCTATTTTGTCTCCTCCTTAGTTTAAACATTCAAATATAGCTAAACGTGATCAAACACTCCTCAAATGGGGGAGTACCAGAAAGACCAGATACATGGTTTCATGCTGCTTTTGTGCTGGGCACAGATCTAGGCAAAAACAATGTTGTGTACATATTAAGAGCTTAAATACAGATGGAATCAATGAATGATTTATGACAATGTGAGTTTTGGAGCTTGGTAGTAATACACAGAAATCTCAGAATCGTGCCTGTTTGTGGAATAAAAAGTAAACAACTTTTCTTTGTAAGGTTAGAGATTGGATGGGAAAATCAGGAACATCTACGAGGCTAAAGAAAGAAATTCCTTATACCCAGATTGTTGGGTGTATTTGCAACATTCCTCTCATTGCCTGACAATGATAAGGATTTTATTTAAGGATATGTGTGCTAAATCAAGAACCTGAGTTTTTCCTTGGAGGTAATGGAGGAGAAAGGAAAATGATGAATGGAAGAAGATGCCTAATATATTGATGTTTCACCCTTGAATCCTCTTTTCTCTTTGCACAGGGTCAGTGGAGGTTGTAGCAGGTCATTATATTGTTTTCTTAATACGTTTTGCCATTTATTTTGTTTGTCTGGGAAGCCATAAAAGTGCTGGTGTGAGCTAATTATTGTAACAATGCATGGCCAAGTTAACAATGACGTCATAGAAGATGCTGGGCTTTTAATGGAACTGAAAAATTCCTATCACCTAGTGGCATCATAGCTGTTATACTGTCTTGGCACAATGCATTGCTCACACATTTGTGGTGATGCTGGTTTAAACAAACCTACTGTATTGCCAGTTTTATGAAAGTATAGCACATACAATTATGTACAGTACATAATACTTGCTAATGACAATAAATGACCATGTTACTGGTTTACGTATTTACTATACTATAGTTTTTTATGTTATTTTAGAGTGCACTCATTCTACTTATTATTATTTTTTTTAAGTTACCTGTAAAACAGCCCCAGACAGGTCCTTTTTCAGAAGTCGGCACTGTTGTCATGGGAGATGACAGCTCCA